AGATTAAACTATTAAATAGTATAACGCGTACTACACGGGTGTTTGCTATTTTTTTCCTTAAAATCTAAAATTAATCAGAAAAAAGTAGTTGAAAATTTAAATACCTTTTATAAAAATATATTTATTATATATTTAGTATGACACTTTTTATTTGTGCGATTTATCTGTGTTATATTATAATAATTTTTTTTACTTACAACATATAACTACATTAAACATAAATATATCAATTGAGAAATAATTTTATTTTTTTTAATGAATTTTAATAAATATTATTATTATTTTTATTATTATAAAGATAAATATAATTTATTTATTTCATATATACAATATGGATGTTAAATCGAAGATCATCAAAAGATGATTAATTTGATATATTATATATGTAAAACCGATAAGAAATACAAAAGTTATCAACTTTTAAAATATATTTACAATTCAATAGGTAATTGAAGGAAGCAAATCAAAAGTCAGGGATATATTAGTCAATTAGTGCCACACTATCTAAAATTATAAAGAAATAAAGGGTTATATTAGTACAAATGATATTAAAATACCTAAGTTAGCTAAATAATATTTATGGAATATCTGAACCTAGATTATTAATTATTAATATATCAATATTATTTGTCTAAACCTAATTAGGAAGTATGATTCTTTGCCAAGTAGGATTCCGAAGCACCAAAAACAGACACGTAAGCTCAGCACATTCGGGAATTATATATACTAGTACAACTCCCGTGTATTACACGGGTGCTTGCTAATTTATTTTTTTAAATCTAAAATTAATGATAAAAATAGTTAAAAAATTAAATACTTTTTATAAATATATATATATATATTATATATTTAGTATGACACTTTTTATTTGTGCTACTTACCTGTGTTATATTATAATGAATGATTAAATTGATAATTAATTATCATGAATGATTTAATAAACTAAAAAGACAAACATACTAATTATATATTTGTTTCCAAAAATATTGTTGATACCATTTCCAAAAGAAGCATTTATATTTATTATTAGTAACCTCAATTCCATCAACTCCCTCTTTATATATATATATATAGATAGATATATGGGAGATGGGAGATATGCCATTTTTTTTTTGGTGCTAAGAAGGAGGCTACGAAAGCCTACGGAATAACCGATCGAGGGTACGACACACCAACTCTATCATGGTGCAACCAAATGCCGACTCCCGGAGGGGGACTCGCCGTGTGAAAGCCACCCGGGCCTTTAGCCGCCAACGACGCCAAATAATCCGCCGCAAAATTCGACTCTCGATAACCGTGATTTATCTCCACCTCCCAAGAACGACCCAAAAGCTCCTTAATACCGTTGACAAGGCCACTATGTACCCCCGCATGAACCCCCTGCTTGACCATCGCCACTATACTTTGGTTGTCCACTTCGACCTGAATCTTGCGGGCCCCGACGTCCCAGGCCAACCGTAACCCTTGAAACATGCCCCACAATTCGGCCCCAATAATGAAACAAAATCCAATGTTCACAGCCCAACAAAATAAGCACTAAATAACAATAATAATAATAATAATAATAATAAATAATAAATAATATTTCAGGAAGCCCATATTCTTCCCGTCCATTTTTTTCCCGTCACTGTTACAATTACACACAGTCCCCGTGACGACGCTGATTTTATTTTTTCAATAAAAAAAAAAATTATTATCAGTTAATATAATCCTGTGAGCTGGATTTGTTTCCCACTTCCAAATAAATTCATTCACAGAAGAAAAAATGATCAATCAATAAGCTAGGGCTGACACAAGGAGAAGAAGGATTTCATCTGAAATTTATCGTGAAGCCGATTGATATCGATGGAGTTTCTCTAACAGTCGCGTGATTTCTCCTCATTTTGCTCCGGCGGTTGTGTCTCGAAAGGTTTGATTTCTGCTGTATTTTCTCGATTCACTGCGTTTTTTTTTTTGTGGATTAGTGTTAGTTGATTTGAATCGCGGTTGCTTGGGCGAGTGATGGAGTGTGTGGAGCTGGTATGATTCGAGAAGAAGTGGTTTCGATTTCTCGCTCGCGAGGCAAGCTTTGGTACGATCGAGGAAGTGTCGCGACTGGATAGGATTATGTGATTTTTTACTGTTTTGTACTTGTTCTTAAGTGGAGAATCAGATCGAGTGTGTGTTGTAGTTTTTGTAGTCGTTGCTGTTGTGCGTTATCCGATTCATGTTTTGCATGTTCGTTATGTGTCTGTGTGTGCAGAGCGTTTCTTGAGCAATCTGTTTAGAATCTTGTCATTTTCCTATCAGCTTAGAACTTACTGATGTGAACCAAGTGTGGCGAATTAATTTTGAATGGACGTCCTTTGATAGTTGCTTGATTTGTCTTCATTTTGCTCTGACGGTTGTATCAGGAAAGGTTTGGTTTCTGCTGAGTTTTTCGATTCACTGCGGTTGTTTTTTTTTTTTTTTTGGGAATAGTGATTCTGGTTTTGGGGAATCTTGGTTGCTTTGGATGAGTGATCAAGAGTGCAAAGTGTGTTCTATTCGAGAAGTAGTTTACAATTTATCGCTCGTGAGGACATCTTTGGTGCAATCGAGGCAGTATCGTGACTGGATAGGGTTGTGTGATTTTCACTGTTGTTTGCTTGCATTTAAGTGGAGAGTAAGATCAAGCGTGTGTTGAGGTTTTTGTAGTCGTTGCTGCTGCGTGTTTATTGAATACAGGTTTTGCATCTTCGATAGGTCTGTGTGTAGGGAGGCGTTTCTTGAGAAATCTGTTGAGAATCTTGTGATTTTCCTATCAGCTTAAAGCTTACTGAGGTGAACCAAGAGTCACCGATTGTTTGAATGGATTTTCTCTGATAGGTTCGTGATTTCTCCTCATTTTGCTTTGACGGTTGTATCTAGGGAGGTTTGGCTTCTGCTGTGTTTTTTCGATTCCTCGCCTTTTATTGGGCATCAGTGTTTCTGGAGTCTTGGTTGTTTGGGTGAGTGATTGCGTGTGTGAAGTAAATTCGATTCAAGAGATATTAGTTTGCGATTTCTCGTTCGCGAGGAAATCTTTGATGTGAGCGAGGTAGTACCACGACTGAGTAGGATTATGTGTTATGTACCTTTTTTTATTGTATTCAAGTAGAGAATCAGATCAAGTGTGTTCTAGTTTTTGTAGTCATTTCTGTTGTGTGTTTACTGATACATGTTTTGCATGTTTGTCATGTCTGTGTGCAGGGAGCGGTTCTTGAGAAATCTATTGAGCATCTTGCGATTTTCCTCAAAACTTACTGATTGGTTTGCTTGTTGCTATCTTAGTTTGACTTATTGGAATTTTTTTGCCATCATTCGAGTCCTCTGGGTGAGGGGTTGGCGATTGATGCTAGGGCTTAAAGGAGATGAAAATATCACAATGAGAGGGGAAAAGGAGTTACTAAGTCGATGGATGAGAAAGACAGGACATTATCTGATCTGGTAGGCTTGTTCAAATCTTGGATCCCATGGAGGTCAGAGCCTGCTCATGTGTCAAGGGATTTCTGGATGCCCGACCAGAGCTGCCGGGTGTGTTACGAGTGTGATACCCAGTTCACATTGTTTAACCGTAGGCATCACTGTAGGGTCTGCGGCCGTATTTTCTGCGCCAAGTGTACTTCCAATTGGGTCCCTACCGAATCAGGTGAACATAAGGCTTTAGTAGAGGAGTGGGATAAGATTAGGGCCTGTAACTACTGTTTCAAGCAATGGGGAAAAGATCTGACGGTGGCTGTTGATAATGGGATACAGGTCACCAGCCCGGACATCAGCTGTCTTTCGCCATCAGAAACTAGTTACCTTAGCACTAAGTCCAGTGGAACGTGTAGCAGCAGTGTTACTTTTTTCTCCATGCCACAGTCTGCTGGACTCAGCCCTCGTCGATCGCCTATTATGGAAACAGCTGTAGAGAGAGAACGCGTTGGAGCAACCAACGATCGTGTTGGGGATGTAGGGGAACAGAACATGTCTGTAGACAGATTTGAATTCAGCAGAAACAGGTTATTTTCTTAACCATCATTTTTGAATTGCCGTTACTTTATGAAAAGTGCCTTGGGGTTCTATTGCCAGTGCATCTCTGGAGTCCAGTTTAAAAAGAGGCATTGTTGCTGAAACTATTTTAGTCGAACCATTTTCTTTATGGCTTTTAAAGGTATAATACTGTTGTTCATTTTAGGTATATGGCATGTGATGGCTTGCCCATGTCGAAGCACTCAATGCATTTGTAGAGTGGACGTCATTAAGAACACTTATTAAGGCTACTTGTTATCTCTACAATGAGTTTTGTAGTCTCTTTTGAATATGTTGTTGGTTTTATTGTGTTTTTCTTTTCTTCCTGTTTCATTTTGTTTCCCCTATTATTAACCAATCCGACCAGAGCGAACACCAGAAAATCTGAATGGATGGGGTTCTACTAGCACCATTTTATGTTACCTTCTTATGTCTAGGTTAGTTATTCATTATATAAAGCATTTCTGATTGATTGATTGATTTTTCCCGATTGAATGAGTTTCTATTTGGTTCTTGGTATGTAACTGTGTTGGTGACTTTCTTTTTTTCGGCATCTATACTGCTGAAGGAATGTCTTCTGTAATTCTGATGCTGCTATTGCACTGTACTGCTAATAGTACTATACTGATGTCCTATTAATAGATATATGCCATTCCTTTATAATTTATGAATTGCCTTACTTGCTAACATACGTTCTTGAATTTATTTTCTTTATGCTAGATATGTAGGATGCAGTCACTAATTATTAGACCTGCATATAACCTTGCAGAAGTGATGACGATGATGAAGATTTTTCTTTCTCTCACGTTGGTTCCCAAGCGAGTCATTTTGCCCAGGTCAACGACTATTATGGGCATGCTCAGTTTCATGATCTAAACAGTGATTTTGACTCACGTAAAGTTCATCCCGATGGAGATGCTATCGATTCAAATATTATGAGTGCTACACCATCACCAATTCCTTTTGATTCCCAAAACTCTGACGAAGTCTCGCAGATTGTGAGGAAAGGTGCTGATCACGATATTGTTGATGAATGTGGGGCACCTTCTTCACTATATGTGGCTGAAGATGTCAATACTGAACCCGTGGACTTTGAAAGCAATGGAGTTTTGTGGCTTCCACCAGAGCCGGAAGATGAAGAAGATGAAAGAGAAGCACTTCTCTTTGAGGATGACGATGATGATGGGGATGGTGCTGGAGAATGGGGATACCTACGCAATTCAAGTAGCTTTGGGAGTGGGGAGTTTCGAAGTAGGGACAGATCAAATGAGGAGCACAAGAAAGTTATGAAGAACGTGGTCGAAGGTCACTTTAGGGCTTTGGTAGCGCAGCTCTTGCAGGTGGAGAATCTGCTGCCAGAGGCAGTAAATGACAAAGAAAGTTGGTTGGAAATAATTACAGCCTTGTCATGGGAGGCTGCCACATTGTTAAAGCCAGACACAAGCCAGGGTGGGCAAATGGACCCAGGGGGGTACGTAAAAGTGAAATGTCTAGCATCGGGGCTTCGAAGCGAGAGGTAATTGCTTGTGTAATTGCAATGGACAACAAGATATAGAAAAAGGTTGCACCTTATATGATATTGTTTGCTTTTACGTTTACATATTAAGTGTTCCCCTTTTGAATATAGTTCTACTGGGAATCAGTTGATGATGAATAAAGATTTTGGTAAATGGCTTTGACTCAAAGCCATGTGGTGTATAATGTTACTGTTTATATCTCCTGATTGTTCGTCCAAACAGATTTTGTTGGCTTATGATGAAAATGGAAATAAATTTCCTATTGTGTTTTGTGACTGCTCCAATATTAATTTCAACATAATAACAAATAGTATTTCATTCTGATGAGGATCATTTTATCAACAGTTCCGTCGTCAAAGGAATTGTCTGCAAGAAAAATGTGGCTCATCGACGGATGACATCAAAGATAGAGAAACCACGTCTGCTGATCCTTGGGGGTGCTCTCGAGTATCAGAGGATTTCAAATGCTCTTTCAAGCTTTGATACTTTGTTGCAACAGGTTAAAATTATTGACATTTTCTTATAGTTGCTTAGTTAGCTCATAATTCTATCTTCCATGAGATTTTCCATGAATTTTGATGTTTAGCATTAATGTTCCCAGGAAACGGATCATCTTAAGATGGCTGTTGCAAAGATAGATGCACATAATCCTGACATTCTTCTGGTGGAGAAATCTGTTTCAAGATATGCCCAGGAGTACCTTCTTGCAAAAGATATATCACTCGTGCTAAATATTAAAAAGCCACTTTTGGAGCGGATAGCCCGCTGCACTGGTGCTCAAATTGTTCCTTCTATCGATCATCTATCATCACAGAAGCTAGGATATTGTGATATGTTCCATGTAGAGAAATTTCAAGAAGAGCATGGCTCTGCGTGTCAGGCTGGAAAGAGACTGGTGAAGACACTAATGTTTTTTGAAGGCTGTCCAAAGCCATTAGGTTTCACGGTAAGCGTAATGCGACTTACTGTTGGGGCAAATTAGTAATAATATTCTAGTTACTACCTGTCTAATTAATACTCATTGTATCGTATAGAAGTACTATTAACTTTCATGAAGAACATCTTAAAATTTACTACCAAAATTTGGCCTTTATACCACTATATATGTTTCATTATTGGTTTCATCTAATTTATATCTAAAACATTAAGATGTTGGTTTCTTCAGATATTACTTCGTGGCGCCAGTGGGGATGAGTTGAAGAAAGTGAAGCATGTCGTACAGTATGGAGTCTTTGCAGCTTATCATCTGGCTCTGGAGACATCTTTTCTTGCCGACGAAGGTGCCTCCCTGCCGGAATTTCCTTTGAATTCTCCGATTAATGTGGCACTTCCAGAGAAGGCATCATTGATTGATAGGTCCATCTCAGTTGTGTCTGGTTTCATGGCCCCAGCTGGTGAAAAATTACCCGGGCCTCAATCTGTTGGTGAACCATTGAGGACGAGCAGTGTGCCCACTTCAGATTCGATGAAGGCAACAATCACACCTGTTCAAGGGAATGAATGTTTAGAAGCATCTAACCTCCGTGCTCCCATGAGACCTCATCCTTCCCTTGTCTCGTCCACTGTACAAGATTTTCCGCATTCTACCTTGACTGAGGGCTTTAGTCGCGATGCCTCAGAAGATCGTGGGTTTGCGGATTTGTCGTTGTCTTCAGAGCCTCAAGTTTTTGAAAAAGACACAGGTGCTGCTACAGGGAGTTGCTACGTCTCTGGTGATTTTGGCACCTCAGACACAAAAATCATGCAAAGCGATCATCGTCAAATTGATTCCAGCAGTAGTGTTACGGATCCATCGTCTTTGCAGCCTGATGGAAAGCAAATCCGCGAGGAACAGCCTGCTTCAAAAGAAGAGTTTCCGCCTTCTCCTTCTGACCATCGAAGCATCCTTGTCTCGTTGTCGTCACGATGTGTATGGAAGGGCACTGTATGTGAAAGATCCCATCTGTTTCGAATAAAATATTACGGTAACTTTGATAAGCCTTTGGGTCGTTTTCTACGGGATCATTTATTTGATCAGGTACTCATCTCATGAGAAAATTACTAATTAACTCTGCTCGTGTAACTTCTACTGGAAGTATCACATAATTCTTTGTATTCTTGCAGAATTATGTATGCCGCTCATGTGAGATGCCTGCCGAAGCTCATGTGCAGTGTTATACGCACAGACAAGGTACTCTTACAATATCTGTAAAGAAGCTGCCTGAAATTATTCTACCTGGGGAAAAGGATGGAAAGATCTGGATGTGGCACCGTTGCTTGAGATGTCCTAGAGCTAATGGATTCCCACCCGCAACTAGAAGGATTGTGATGTCCGATGCTGCTTGGGGATTGTCTTTTGGAAAGTTCTTGGAGCTAAGCTTTTCAAACCATGCAGCTGCTAGCAGAGTGGCAAGCTGTGGCCATTCTTTACATAGAGACTGTCTTCGATTTTATGGGTAAGATGTCGTTTGTTTGGTTTACTCTGTACTTGAGAATCTTGAAGTATGTTTATCACTAGACAATCAAGCATTACGTGGTCACATAAACTTCAAAATGGCGTTAACTGATTACGTTGCTGTTTGTAAAATGACCCATCCAACTGAGCTATCTCATTGATTTCTCCTATCTGTTACACACTTGAAGAACTATAAGATTGGTGGCTTGCTTTTTAAGTTTTAACTGAGCTGTCAATGCCCAATTTTGTATTTTGAATTAGGGGAGAAGATAGTTTATTACTTATGATTCATTCTTTATGATGTTCGATTTCTTGCAGGTCTGGAAAAATGGTTGCTTGCTTTCGTTATGCATCAATTGACGTTCATTCAGTGTACCTACCTCCCCATAAACTTGATTTCAGCTATGAAAGCCAGGAGTGGATAGAAAGAGAACTGAATGAGGTGAAATGAGCATGATCTTTCTTTTCCTCCTGGATTGCTGCTATCAAAAGCTTGTGTTTATCTTAGTTGTCTTTCTAACAGGTGGTTGGGCGAGCTGAGCTTTTGTTCTCTGAGGTGCTTAATGCTCTTCGGCTTCTGGTTGAAAGAAAATCTGCCCAAGGTATGGTCAGCAGCGGCACCAACTTTTCTGAATCGAAACGCTTGATTTCAGATCTTGAGGGTATGCTGCAGAAAGAGAAGTCGGAATTTGAGGTATAGGGTCAGTTTATCTTGAGTTTAATTTTTCATGGTGATGGTCTTTGGCTATATTATATGTATGTGTTTGTGTTTCCCTTCACAAGTGATGTCAATGCCAGTGAAGTAAAAATACACTTTTGATTCATGAACTATCTTTTTTTTTTTTTTGTTTTGGCTATGTTGGGGAAGAGAGATTCTGCTGAATATTCTTTGTAGCAATATCAGGGACTTAAAGTAAAGTATAACTCGTAGATAACAATTTCTGGTCTTGATGAATGTTAATTTGATTCCCAGGAAACACTTGAGAAAATTTTGAAGAAGGAGGTAAAAAAGGGCCAACCTGCCATTGATGTTCTCGAGCTCAATCGGCTCCGCAGGCAACTAGTCTTCCAGTCTTATATGTGGGACCAACGCCTGATACACGCCGCCAGCCAAGATGTTAAGAATCAACCAAATGTCATGGAAGTTACACCTTCAGAGTCGACGGTGAAACTTCTCGATGGTATTTTGAAAGTCCCTGATATAAGTTCTCCAATTAAGACACGTTTGGGTAATCTTGAAAATAGCGGTGTGGATGCAAAGACTAATCAAAATCCCGACCATGGTGCCAGCCTTACCCTGAACAATGAAATTGAGGATAGAAAACCTGATGTAATTCTCAGCCCCACTCTTCAAAATCTAAGCCCGGCAGCTCCTGCTTGTGAGATGAAGCCCACAGATGAATCTGATCCATTGGTTTCTGGCGTAAATGTCCGTAGGGCCTTCTCTGATGGTCAAGATTCTATTTGTTTGTCGCAAACCCTTGACTCGGCATGGACCGGCCAAAGTCACACAGGAACCGCGATTCCCAAGAATAAGAGTTTCTCCGAATCAGTCGAAGTAGATACCCTATCCACCCTCAGGTTATCAAACAAGTTAGAAGTGGAAGACCACATAGAGGACTTAAGCCTACCTAAGGCGCCTCCTCAGTCTCCTTCTGTTTCATCTGCCAAAAGCTCCGAGAATTTGGAAGACACTGTAAGCTGGTTGAGTATGCCATTTGTGAGTTTTTACCGATCGATAAATAAAAATTTTGTAGGACCAGCTGAGAAATTGAACACGCTGGGCGAATACAATCCAATGTACATTTCATCATTTCGGGATTCTGAACTCCAGGGTGGGGCCCGCTTGCTCCTGCCCGTGGGAGTCAACGAAACTGTTATTCCTGTGTACGATGATGAGCCCACGAGTATCATTTCTTATGCGCTTGTTTCGCCCGATTATTTTGCCCAGCTGTCTGATGAACAACCCGACAGGGTCAAAGACTCTTCAGACTCTACATTTTCTTCTCAGCATTTTGATGTTGGGAGTTTTCCTTCATTTAATTCTCTGGACGAGATGATGTTGGAGTCATACAGGAGCCTTGGATCCGGAGACGAGAGCATGCTAACATCTTTAACAAGCTCCCGTAGTTCTTTGCCTATGGATCCACTGTCTTATACAAAGGCCTTGCATGCCAGAGTGTCCTTCTCGGACGAGGGACCCCATGGGAAGGTCAAGTACACCGTGACTTGCTATTACGCCAAGCGTTTTGAGGCCCTGAGGAGGATAT